CACACATCCATCACGAATTATTGATGCGCAGTTGGTGCAACGCACACAGCACAAAAAAGACTCCACAAAACGCATTGATTCATAGACTAGCACGCCTAACATGCAGGAACGGAAGTAAAGAACAGATTCGAAAGAAGCACGAACTTAGAGTCTGTCAAAAGGTAAAAAAGAGGGAAAGTTGTGAGTGACTATTTTAGGCACGACATTTGCATTCAAGAAAAAAAAAATGAAATGAATAATCTGTCACTCTACGTTCTCCACACTCAGTTGACCCAACTGTGAACAATTCGCGGCCTCGGTGGGAGTCGAACCCACACACCAGGGAAGGCTTTTGCGCAGCCAACGCCCTGCCATTGGACTGACTAAGAGGCTAAAAAGGAACTACAAGGCAGTTCGCGAAAACGTCAGTTTAGGAAAGTTCTTAAGATTAGTTTTTTGGGGTCACGAACTTTGATGCGCGAAAGTTCGTCTAAGGCAGTATTCAGATACAATCACCGTGGCGGAGCTTGTCTGACTGGTGTAGCTGCATATGGTTAGCAAATGCCGAGGCAGCGAAAATGGACTTAAAGAACTTAAACAGTTCCAGAAAAACGAGACCGCAAAATGAAAGCGTCTAACGGGAACCAGACACTACTGTACTCACACCTTTGACGAAAGTAACACTTGATCAGCCCAAGAAATATAAGACCAGCCAAAACTATTATGATAAGTCTTGAATTAGGACAGTAAGTACTGAAAGGACCGAGAACTTGGACCACTATGATTCCAGCACAGCATGTTGCTAATCTGTTAAGCCAGATGGCAAGAACTCATGTTTGTGTGTGTCTTGTGAGAAAAATGGTTAAACAGGCTACTGGGGCGTGAGACCCATAACCAAGGCAGCCCTCGGCGCACTACTCTCAATAATCAATCTGACGTGCGCTGAGGCTACCACAAGGCTCTCAGGTTGCAAGACAGTCACAGCTAGATTCTGCCTAAAACTAAGGGTCAGTTAGGCACAATTTCTTGGTCCTGCGGGTTTTATGGCACACCACCTGTGTGAGCCTCGAGGAGTTGGGGCCCAGGAGCGTGAGAGGCAAGTGAGCGGCACATGTACATGGATCGATTAAACTTGTCAGCCGTTACGCCCACGCACTAGAGCGGCCTCAATGGCCTTTTCTTGTCACATGAAGTCAGTAGGTATGCGACAGGCGAAGTGATAGAGGTGTCTCGTAGGTGTGCTTCAGCAGGACCTATGCCAACCTGAGAACAAAATCTCATAGACTTGACTACTGTACTAGCTAGACAGTTGCAAGATTTGTCGTTTGCGCCAACGAAATTGCGTCTGTCTGTGTCTGGGTGGGGTGTATAGAGTACCCGATGAGAACAACAATCGCACAGAACACCCGCATTCAGCAGGCAGCCATTGCATTCTGAATTTATTCAACACTTTCATTTCAAATAATTTATAACCGGTGCCATAGCCACGACCTCACAACCGTCTTCATAGGTGAGCCTAAGTATGCCAAGAGGTAGCGAGCAGGCTTGTCCGTTATGTGAAGTTATGTGTTGAGTAAATCAGTCATCAGAGAGGAACCAGTCTGCTGTGACACGTGCAGAGGGGGCTTGCAGCAGTCCAGTCACTATGACTTAGTTGTCACTGGAGCCAGAGGGGCGTGAGAAGAGAGGGTGAGGTCGATGACGCGAAAGTCATTATCGACGGATTCCCCTCACCGTAAAAACGCCGCCACCGGGTCTGACAAGTTAGAAATGGCTGCTTGAGAGAGAAAATCTGCGAATATCTAATTTTACTTGCGATAACAAGGGAGCCAAGTGG